ACGAGTTCCAGGGCCCCGGTAGCCCCCAAAACCGGGGGCGACCAGCCCCGGGCCGCGCCGCCGCCGTACCGGGGGCTCCGACGGGCCGCCGAGCCCCGCCGCCGGCCCGCCCCGGTGCCCCTCGCCTGATTGTTTTGTGTTTTCATTTTGGTTTGTGGTTTTGGTTTTGTTGGGGTTTTTTTGTATTTTGGGTTTTGGTTTTTTTTTTTGGTGGGGGGTTTGGTTTTAGGTTGGTTTTGGGTTTTGTGTTGTTTTTTTTTTTTTTTTTTTCCTTTTAAACCGTCTCGGCCGAGCCCGCAGCCGTTCCGCCTCTCCCGGGGCTTCACCCTAGCGCCGGCATCGCCTTTCGTTTTGTGCCGTTTCTTCCTCCGAAACCCCAGGCTGGAGCTCGGAGGGAAGGAAATAATAAATTCGTTAAAAATAAAAAAAATAATTAAAAAAAAGAGGATAAGTAAAACTATAAATCCCCCGGTTCTTCGTTTGCATTTGGGCCGAGATGGGCTTGGGGGGTTTTGTTTGTTTATTTTATTTTTAACAACACCCGCTCCCTCCCCGTTTACAGAAACACCCGCGGGGGGCAAAGACCCACGCCGGGCCGGGGCATCCCCTCTCTTCAGCACCGCGGGGGGGACACACCAGGACCACGGCCCTTCCTCGGGGCCCCCTTTTCCGGCGGGCGGGTAAGAGGAAAGAGTGGTGGGTCTGGGGGAGTCCGAGTGGCACCGTGGGAGTTGCGTGGGGCTCCGCGGCGCTTTGTGCGTGGGGGTGGGGGTGCCGCATTGTTTGCCGGTGGTGTGAACACGCACATGCACTTCACCCCCCCCCCCCATAATACGGAAATTTCCATGTCCCAGCTGCCTTCCCCTTTTAACCTTGGTATTAATTTAGGACGGATCTTTTTAAACGGCCCTGTAATGCATTCAGACGCTGCTGGAGGTTTATCTTTTTTTTTTCTTTTTTTTTTTTTTTTTTTTGTACCGTGGGTTATATTTACACCCAAAACAAAATAATTACACTTTTGTTGAAGAGAGAAAGCTGGTGATTAGACTGTGGCTCTTTGCAGCAAACCCTTTCTCAGTGGTACACCAGGACAATTTTTCACGGCTGGGTGAAATCAGACGCGGGAGGTAATGAATCCTGTGAGCTATTTAAATTTACAATTTGTAACGCAGTCACTCAGAAACGCCTATGGCCCGGCGAGGAGATGCTTGCTGGGTTTGTTTAATGTTAAATCCTGCACCGTCCCCCCTCTTACCAGGGGAAAGGAGGGGAGCGCGGGGAGGAGACGCCTCGCCCGCCCCCAAACGCGCTCCCACCGGCAGCAGCCCCGCGGAGGAGCGCGGAGCGGTGCGGAACCGCCGCCTCCCACCGCGTCCAGGCTCGGCTTCCCCGGGCCGGGCAGAGCCGCGGAGCCCGGCCCCGCTCCGCGCTCCTCCGCGCTCCCCGGCGTGACCGCCGCCTGCAACCAAAAATAGTTGGAAATATCAACAAAGTCGTCGTCGGAGCATCCTAACAGATAGATAATTAATTACAAAACACAGGGGGAATATGCAAACCGCGTATTACAAATTCTACAGGGCTTAACTGATTGGAAACAGATTATTATCTTGTTTGTCTTTTGTCTGTTTCACTTATCCCTCTGCCGTCTGTTGTGTTGTAAGTTGATACACTTTATTCTTGAAAGGGGATTTTTTTTTTATATAGTAAATTCCATCAACATCTTGTATAAGCGACGCTGCTTCTCCATGCATTACCCTGTTAAAACACAATAGGTTTATTAGTTACATATAGGCGGATATTATGGGGCCTGAATTACCATCTGTTACCATAGGGGAATGTGGCTGATGGGGTGGGCTGTGGGGGGGGAGGTTGTTGCTTTGGGGTTTTGTGATTTGGTTTGGTTTGTTTTCCCCCTCCCCTTCCCCTTGGCTTTATTTATTCTTTTACTTTCAAACGAAAAAGGGAGACGAGCCCGGCAGCGGGGAGCGGGACCCCCGAGCATCGCCTCCCCGCCGGGGACAGCGGGGGGGGCCCCGGCTGCGGGTGCCGGTAGCGCGGCGGGGGCGGCCGCCCGGCCGGTTCCGAGTGCCACGGGGGTGCGCAAGGCCGCGGGAGAAGGCTGCGTGGGCACAAACAAACGCGAGTGCTGCTCACGCACCCCTGGCCGGCTCCTTACAGGTTATCCATACGATCCATAAGATCCCGTTACGGCGTGGGGCCGGCGCTGGCACACGCCCTCGCCCGCCGCGTCCCCCCCACGCAGCCCCACGTCGCGCCGCTGGCTCTTAGCGGGGTTGCCCGAGCCGCGCCACCCGCTCCCGCCTTTCTCCGTGGGAAGTAAAAGCGTTCGGCGTCCGCAAGCAAGGCTCCACCGCCGGGACCGGCGGGCAACGCGGACACGCGTGTGCGCGTATATATGTTCCTGTAGACGCGGGTGCGTACATATTTCTACCTACGCACCCGCGCACGGCCGTGGATGTGTATGCACGTACCTCCCTATAGCTACCGCTCGCTCTGGATCCCAGCCGCGCCGGGTTTCTCCCGGGGGGGGCCCGGCCTGTCCCGGTGCCCCCGGGACCCCGCGCCCTGTCCCCGCCGCCGTCCTTCCCCCCCCCCCCCCCCCCCCCCCCGCCCCGAGCAGCGGCTCCCCGGGCTCTGCCGCCGGTCTGGGCCCCGCTCCGCGCCTCTCCGCGGCTCCAAAATTCCCCGGCAAAGCCAACGGAGCCCCCGGCAAACTTGGGCAGAGCCACGGCGTGAGCCGCCGGGCCGGTCCCTCTCCTTTCTTCCTCTGCCTTCGCCTTTCGTGCCCGTTTCTTCCCTTTTTAATTTACTGCTTTTTTTATTTATTTACTCCTCTTCTCTTTTTTTCTTTCTGTCTTTGTTTTCTTTCTTTTCCCTCCTCTTTCAGTGCTCGCTCACTCTGGCGCTTTTCTTTCACGCTTTCTTTTTTCGTTTCCTTTATTTTCCTTTCTCGATGTTCTTTCTTTTTTCTCTTCTCCGATCATTTTTCCTCCTCCCTTTTTTTTTTTTTGATTTTTCCATCTCCATTCTTGCTTCTTTAGTTTTATTTATTTTTTCGTTCGCTCATTTATTCCTTCTTTCTTCCCTTCTTTTTCCTTCTCTTATTTTCTCTTTGTTTTTATTTCGTTTTTTCTCCCGTCTCTCCTTCTTTCCTTCCTTTTTTTCGTTTCCGTTAATTTATTTTTCTTCGCTCTCTCCCTTTCTCTCTCTCTCTTCCTTTCTCCTTCTCTGTCTCTTTTTTTCCGGACACATTTTCTCTCTTTATTTCTGTGGGGTTTTTTCTTCTTTATTTCCCTTTTATTTCTTTCTCTTTTTTTTTTTTTTCCTAATCTCTTCTCTCTATATTTTCTTGTTTCGGTTCCAGTTCTTTCCACAAACACCCCTACCCAAGAGCACACAGAAAACCTCCTCCACTTCCCCGCCGATGCCCTTGTGCCGCGGAGGATTTGTTTTTGTTGTGGGGTTGCTTTTTTTTTTTTCTTTTTCTTGCCTTTTCTTTTTTTTTTTTTTTTTTTTTCCTTTTCAGCTACCGGGAGCGTTTCCGCGCCCCGGTGCGGAGCCGGTGGCGGGATGCTCCGCGGCTGCCGGGCAGGAGCGGGCTTTGGCCGAGTCCTTCTCCCCCGAAGAGGGGTGGGGGGAAAAAAAAAAAATTAAAGATTTTTCCTGGAGAAACTGATGAGGAAGGGAAGGGCCGGCCTTCACCTGCCCTGCCGCCTTCCTCCTCCTCCTCGCACGGCCGGAACCCAGGATCGCCCCGTCCCCTCCCCAAATCCCGGGCCCCCCCCCCACACACCGACCCCACCGCCCCGGCCGGCAGCTCCGCGCTGGGGCAGCGGCACCCCCCCCCGCCCGTGCCCTCGTTTCCCCCCCGTAACCCCCAAGCGCCGGGTCCTGTCCCCTCCCGCATGGCCGGCCGACGATTCACAGCTCCGCCGCACCTGGAATTAAAAAGAAAAAACAGTGTCCGAGGGGGCAGCGCCCGCAGCACACCCCCCTTCCCCCCCCCGGGGGCTGCCGGCGAATTACGCGGAGCAGGGAAGGGGCGGGAAGGTTGCCGGCCCGTGGGACAAAGGCCGGGGGGGGGGACGCGGGGGGGTCCGCATACCTCCGCGCAGCGCGCTGCCGGGGGAACTTTTCATCCCGCCACGCTGCGCGGAGGAGCCGGCCCTCCCCGCGGCCCCGGCCCCCTCCCCTTCCCCGCCCCCCCCCCCCCCCCCCATATCCCCCCCCCGTCGCTTTTCCCGCTTGTTGCTCTTCCAGACAAAAGCATCTCTCCCCCTTGTGCCAAAAAAAAAAATAATCTAAAGAAATAAAAATAAAAATAAACCGACCCCCAAACCAGGTGATACTCTCCCCCAGCCCAACTCGGGACCCCCCAAACCCCTCCCTGAGCATCCCTTTAAAAGAAATAAATGAAACGAAAAGGAGAATTGGTGGGAAACCGTTTTTTTTTTGCAGCGTGTCGTCCCCCCCGCCCCTCCCGACCCCCCAGCCAGGTGCATACTCACTTCGCGGCACAGGTACAAGCCACCCTCAACAATAGAGGCGCGTTGTTTTTTTCCCTCTGTGCCAAGCACAAGGCTGGAGCCAATTTAGATATGCTATAAATTAAGAGGTTGCCATGGTTACCGCGCTCCCATTGGCCGCAGCTGGGGCGACGCGGGCCCCGACGTCACCAAATCTGAATAAGGATGCGCGAATTACTAAGGCGGGGGACAAAGCTGGCGATGGGGACAGCATGAGAGTGGCGGCGCGGCGGCGGCGGAGCACAGCGAGGCACCGGGGCTGCCGGCTGCGGGGGGGGGTTCATGCACCCCTCCCGCCGCGCCCGCTGCCGCAGAGCCCGCCAGCAGCGCGGCCGCCGCTCCGCCGGCTCCCGGGGCGCTCCGGAGGGACCCGGGGGGGATTTGGGGGGGTGTTTTTTTCTAATTATTATTATTATTATTATTATTATTTCTCGAGGGTGGTTTGGATTTTTTTTTTTTTTTTTTTTTTTGGGGCATCGTTTTTTCCCTCCCGCCGCCGAGGCTCCGGAGAGAAGAGGGGGAAGAACTTGACAGCCGCTCCGCTCCCCTCCCCTGAATTTTTCGTTATTCCCGCTTCTATTTTTTTTTCCCCGCAATTTTAATTTTATTATTATTATTATTATTATTAATTTTTCCCTGCATTTTTGAGCGGCCGCCGCGGGGCTGACTTCTCGTTTGCGCGTCTCCCTCGCCCGGCGGAGGTTATGATGGTGCATTGTGCGGGCTGCGAGAGGCCGATTTTGGACCGGTTCCTGCTGAACGTCTTGGACAGAGCTTGGCACATCAAATGCGTCCAGTGCTGCGAGTGCAAGTGCAACCTGACCGAGAAATGCTTCTCCAGGGAAGGCAAACTCTACTGCAAAAATGACTTTTTCAGGTGAGTCGTCCGCTTCCCCCCCGCCCCCCCCCCACTCCTTTCCCGCACCCCGCCAACCCACGAGAGGGTGCGGAGCTTCACCCGGTGCCTCCCTGGGGTCTCCCCCGGAGCTTGGAGGGGGGGCCCTGCTTCTCCGCCCATCCCTCTCCGCCGGGGTCCGCGCCGAGCCTGCCCCACCGCTCCGGCGGGGAAGCAGCCCCCCGGGCCGGGGGGGAGCCCCGAGGGGGGCCCGGCGGCTGCGCTACGGCCGCTGCTGCAGCCTCAGGTGGGGGTGGCGAGGCTGTGCCCCCCCCCCCCCCCATGACCTTGTCTCCACCAGCACCGGGCCCCGCTCCGCCGGTACCGCCGCCCGCCCCGTCGCGACAGGCCCCGCTGGGTATCGCGGTGGCAGCCGCGTGTCCCCCGCTCCGGGGCCCGGCCTGGCGCTCCTCGCCCCCCACCCGGGACCACAGGCCCCGGTGAAGACTGTAGCCAAAACCTCTCACCCCCCCCCTTCACCTCGGGGGGGGGATCCGCCGCTCCTTAAACGCCTCTAATGACTGCGATAAGGTGCCGCTGAGGAAATTAGGGGCCGGGATAGGAAGGGGGGGGCGATGACTTATGACTCCTAATGCTCTCACTACATCAACGTCACGGGGAGCAGCGAGGGAGGCAGAAGTTGTGCCGCGACCGGAGGGAAAAAAGAGGGGACCCTGCGTGGGCACCCCGGGGCCTGGCAGCCCCCCGGATCCCCCGGGACTCGGCAGCGGCCGCCCCCGCTCCCAGGCTTTGGAGGCATTTTTTTTGTGCGTGAGGTATTTTTTTGTTTGTTCGTTTGGGGTTTTGAGAGGTCTGGGGGTTTTGTTTTGTTTTGTTTTGTTTTTTTCGTTTCTTTTTTTTCTTTTTTTTTTTTTTTTTTTTTTTTTTTAGGGTATTGGGGGTTTTTTGGTTTGTTGTTTAGGTGGGTTTTTTAATTTTTTTTTCTTTCCTTTCTACTTGATTCGGATTCCCTGGCTTTTTTTTTTTTTTTTTTTTTTTTTTTTGTTAATACATCATCTCCTGAAAAGGGGGGACACGACAAATATATATATTTTTTTTAAAAAAAATAGGGGGAAAAAAAACAGGGAAAAAAAATAAAAATAAATAATAATAATAAAAAAAACACCGCTCTGCCTCCAACGAAGGGAAGGAAAATCCGAGATTTCCAAAGCGTGGCTCCCGACCGGGAAAGATCCCCCCCGGGAGAGCGGGCCGGCGCCGGGCTGGGGACCCCGGGATGTTTCGGGGAGCGGCACATCCTCCGCCGCCGCCCGTTGTTGTTCTGGGTGCGCGCTGCCCCCCGAACCCACCGCTCCCGTTTTCCGTCGCTCTGGCCGCCGTCAGCCCCGTTTTCTCACCCGGATTTTCAGGCCGGCGCCGGGTGGAGCCGAGCCCCCCGTTTCCCGGCCCGGGAGGCAGCGGCTGAAACGAATTCCGGCCCCCCCCTCTCTTTTCGGAGGGCGAGGATGCTCGTGTGTGTGTGTGTTCCCCCCGGGGGTGGGGACACCCCAAAACAGAGCTCTCTCCGCAGCCCACCCTGCCCCTGTGAGCGGGGCTGCGCGGGGATGAAGCCTCTCCTCCTCCTCGCCCCAAAAGGGGTGCGAATCGCCTTGCTTCCCCCCCCCCCCCCCAGATCTCCCAACGAGAGCTGCTGGAGGAGGGGGCTCCCGCGGTGGGATACGGAGGAGGTGGGGATCGGTCCAAACGGGGGTCCCCGCCGCAGCCCATCGCCGTCGGGGCTCCCAGCTCTCGCTTTTCTCCCCCTTTCCAGGAGGTTTGGTACCAAATGCGCCGGCTGCTCCCAAGGCATCTCCCCCAGCGACCTCGTCCGGAAAGCCCGGAATAAAGTCTTTCACCTGAACTGTTTCACCTGCATGGTCTGCAACAAGCAGCTCTCCACGGGCGAGGAACTCTATATCATAGACGAAAACAAATTTGTTTGCAAAGAGGATTATTTGAACTCTCCCAGTTTGAAGGAAGGCAGCCTCAACTCAGGTACGAGCGGCTCAGCCCGCCGCATCGCCCCGCCGCTCGTACCGGCAGGAGCAGGCAGTGGCCGTGGGGCTCCCGGTACCCCCCGCCGGGCCGGGAAGGAGGTTTGGTTTTGTGGGGTGAGGGGCTGTACCCCGCAGCCAGCCTGGCGCCTCCCCCCCCCCCCCCCCAGGTTAATCCACGGGGAGAGGTGATGGGATTTGGGGGTGAAAGCCTTTGAACCGGGCGGAAGCTTCTGTGACACACCACACACACACACACGCCCACACACACCCCACGCGGGATGTGGACACGCGTGGGGATGAGCGGTGGCCGAGGTGCAGCCCCGCAGCATTGCTTCCCCCCGCGCATGGCCCCTACGGCAGCGGGGATGTGGGGCAGTGGGGAACCAGGACCCCCCCCACGGGCCTGGCCTGGGAGCCCCCCATCGCCCGCGAGCTGCCCCCCACACACACACACTGCGAGTGTGCCCACTCCCCCCGCGCCGCGGGCCTGATCCTTCGCCTCCTTTCACCCAGAGGCAAAGCTCCCATTTGACTTCCTTGGAAGCTGTCTCTGCGTCAGGACAGCAGGATCAGGCCCACTCCTGCTGTCCCAGCCATGCCAGGCGCCTGTGCTCACCCCCTTCCGTGGGCTCTCTCTCCGTCCAGCACCCGGGGCCGGATCCTGCCACGCCAGTCAGTGGGGCCGCTGCTGTGAGCGAGGCGAGTAGAGCTTGGCCTTGGGCGGGGGTGCTGGCATCAGGGTCCCCGGGGGGGGGGGTTGGGTGGTTGGGGGGGGTGAGCCAGGCTCAAGGCAGTGACTGGAGACCCCTCCTCAAACCCTGACAGGGACCGGTTGCATTTTTTTCCCAGCAGTGCATCCCGCTTTCTCGGTGCAAAAGGAGCTGGGGGGGCGGGGAGAGGGGGAGCGCCAGGGGCTGCGGGGGGCCTGGGGGATCACCCCCTCCCCAGCTCCCCCCCCGGCTGGTATGACACGGCGTGCAGGGCCGGATCGGGTGGTGCTTGCCTGCAGCTCTGCGTGATGTTGGGGGAAAGATGCTTTAGGGGTACCAGGGGGGCAGAGGCGATCTGCACCCCTTGCTGCTCTCCAGCACCCCCCAACCCCTCTCCCGGGAAGCAGCTGGGCTGGGGAGGGCAGAGGAGAGGGGGGTTGATCTCTCCCCTAAGTCATCCACCCCCCGCCTTTCCTCTCTGGGTCTCCTTTACAGTGTCCTCATGTACAGACAGGAGTTTGTCCCCGGATCTCCAGGACCCCATGCAGGACGACACCAAGGAGACGGACAACTCGACCTCCTCGGACAAGGAGACCACCAACAATGAGAACGAGGAGCAAAACTCGGGCACCAAGCGGAGGGGGCCCCGCACCACCATTAAAGCCAAGCAGCTGGAGACCCTCAAAGCTGCCTTCGCCGCCACCCCCAAACCCACCCGCCACATCCGAGAGCAGCTGGCCCAGGAGACCGGCCTCAACATGAGAGTCATCCAGGTAGGGCAGCACCAGCCCACCGCCCCAGCTTTGCCCCCCCTGCCCCACTGCAGCCCACTAGCGTGATGTCATGGGGCTGGCCAGTGATGTCATTCCCACCCCAGACCAAGGTTCCTGTGACATCAGAGCTTCGCGGGGCGATTTCCTCCCGCAGAGAGCAGAGAGAAGGAAAGGACCTGCATGGGGAGGGAAGGAGAAGAGGTGCTGGTGGGAGCCCAGATAGTCCACGGCCGTGACAGTCTCCCCCAGGTGCTGGGAAGGGTTTGGGACACTGAGGCTGGTCCCACGAAATGGGCACAGGCAAACCCCATCTGTCTCCTGCCAGCATCACCCCAGGCTCAGCCCTGCACCCGCTCCATGTTCCCATGGGTTATCGGGGACCACCCACCCCACGGAAAGATGAAAACCAGCCCTGAAACATAAGCTGGCTGGGCGCCCCTGCCTCAGCTGTTTGGCTTCCCCCGGGAAGGAGCAGGATCCCCCGGCGTGCTGGGGAGATGGATGCTCTGGCCTTGTGAGAGCAAGGAGAAGCCACCGCGCTCTGCAGGCAGCCCGGCACTTCCTTACCACACTGCCCCCGTGAAGAAAATCCCTGTGGAAATGTAGGGATTAATGGGCTTTAATAGAGGCGTTAATGGGGGAGGACTTTCCGGCTTCACCGGCAGCAGAGCTGCAAGCCCCGGCTCCCGGCACAGGGAAGCAGAACTCCCCGGAGGAGTGAGATGTGCTCGCTCCCCCGAGCTGCCCTGTCCCCGGGGGGGGAGTGGGGCAATAATCCAGACACCCCACCAGGCCGGGGGAAAGGCGTGCGTGGGCTGAGGCCGTGCTGTTTGGATGAGGTGATGCCCCGTAGAGAGGCGGCCGCGTCTTCCCCTTCCCTTTTATCTCCAGCCTCACCCGCCGGTTTTTCTTCCAAGTCCCTGCTTGCCGCAAGCTGGTCTCAACTCCCTGCTCCCCGCTTTCCGCTTACTTCTACCACAATCCAGAGTTCCTCCCCTTCCCTTTCCTTCCCTCTTTTCCTCCTTTTTTTCTCCCCCTGTAAGGGAAAATTCTTCCCATATCCTCTGGCTGCCCTTGTAGGGACAGATGGGCTGAGGATGTGCATGGGGGGATGCAGCCAGGGGGCCAGGGTTTTAATAATTAATAATTAATTCGTGTGTGTGTGTGTGTATGTCGTGTCGTCGTTGTCCTCCCCCCCCCCCCCATCCACTTTTGGGGGCTATTGGCAGCAGGAGGTGTGGGGAGGGTGTCATTAAAAGCCACCCAGGCAGGCGCAAGATTTCCATCCTTTTCCCCAGCCAAACTTGGGGACGGGGGACGGGAGGGGCCCCCCCGACCCCGCGGGTACCCCCTCCCGGCCGGGCGCTGACGCCGGCCCTGCCGCAGGTCTGGTTCCAGAACCGCCGGTCCAAGGAGCGGCGGATGAAGCAGCTGAGCGCGCTGGGCGCCCGGCGGCACGCCTTCTTCCGCAGCCCACGCAGGATGCGGCCCCTCGGCGGCCGCCTCGACGAGTCCGAGATGCTCGGCTCCACGCCCTACACGTACTACGGAGGTGAGGGACCGGCCGTGGGGGCCCTGCCCCAGCCCACACCCCCACACCCCCCCCAGCTCCTTCCCTCCCTCTTCCCCTTTCCCTTTGTTCCGCCCAGTCCTGCTTCTCCCCGGGTGTTTTTTCCTTCCCGTTCGCCCCCCCCCTCCCCCCCGCGACGAGCGGAGGCCCCGAGGGGACGGAGACTCGCCCGCCTCAAGCATCCCGCCCCCCCCCCCGCCTCCTCCCCCCCACGCGTGTGCGCACCCACGGGCCGGCGCGCGGATGGGCACCCCCCCACACACCTCACCGCGCGCCCACGCCCGTGCACACGCACACCACTGGAGGCACACACATCCACGCACACGCTGGCACGTCCACGCACGCCCACGGCCCCCCCCCCCCGCGCGGCCGGGCATTGTGGCGGCGGCGGCCCCACTCCCGCGAACAAAGCCCCAGCTGCGGGGCCTTTGTGCCCCTTCCAGGCCCCATTTGTTCCCGTTCCCTCCCGGGCCCGCAGCATATGGAAGGTGGCTGCCGCCGGGCCGCCCCCCCGCCGCCCCGACGGGACGGGGATGGGCGCAGCGGGGCAGCCTCGTCGCCTCCCCTCTCCCCCCGCTCCGTGCGGAGCCCCCACCCCCCAGAGCTGCGTCTGCAAAGCCTCCCCCCTAGAAGGGGCTTTCCAGTCACTCCTTGCACCCCTGCAGTTACTTTCCAGAGCCCTTCTAGGCTGCTGAAAACACTGAATTTCCCCATTATATATATATATATATATATATATATATATATATTTCCCCCCCCCCATTTTATATATATATTCTTCATTACATTTTTTCCCCATTCCCTTTATATACATTTTTCCCCCATCCCTTTTATATACACTTTTCCCCCCATCCCCTTTATATGTATACTTTTCCCCATTCCTTTCATATATATACTTTTTCCCCATTCCCTTTATATATATATATTTTTTCCCCATTCCCTTTATATATATATTTTTTTTCCCCATTCCCTTTATATATATATTTCCCCATTCTCTCTCCCTCTATATATTTTTTTCCCCATTCTCTCTCCCTTTATATATATATTTTTTTTTTCACCCCCATTAAGTAAGCATTAAATTGAGCCCATCCTCCCCTCCCTCCCTCCAGGCCAGGTAGGGAGGGGGTGACAGCTCTGCAGCCCTTAGGACAGGCTTATTCCTCCCTCTGGGCTCAAATTTGCAGCCAGCCCCCGCACCCCAGGAGCCAGCGGAGTATTTCAGAGGGGGTGGCCACACTGCTCCTGGGTGGGAGGACAGGGCTGGCTATGGGGCACGGTGGGATTTTGTAAGCTTTTGGCCCTGGGGGACCAGTTCCATCCTTTTCTCCCCCCCTCCCACAGATTATCAAGGTGACTACTACGGACCGGGAGGCAACTATGACTTTTTCCCCCACGGGCCGCCCTCCCAAGCCCAGTCCCCGGCCGACTCCAGCTACCTTCAGAACTCAGGACCCGGCTCCACACCCCTGGGACCCTTGGAGCCCCCCCTAAGCGGACACCACTCCTCAGAAAACCAAAGGTATACGGATATGATCTCGCATCCCGACACCCCCAGCCCCGAGCCGGGGATGACCGGTTCGCTGCACCCCATTCCGGGGGAGGTCTTCAGCGGGGGGCCCAGCCCCCCCTTCTCCATGTCCAGCAATAGCGGCTACAGCGGGGGGCTCTCGCACCCCAACCCAGAGCTCAGCGAGGCGGCGGTGTGGTAGGCCTGGCGCGGGCACGCGTGCGCATGTGGAGGGGGGAAAAACATCCCCACATCCCCCCAGCCCACGCGTGTCCCCCTCCCCTCGCCCCAGGGCACATCACCTCACCGATAAAGACACACACGCATCACACACACACACACCCCCCCCCAGCCCCTCCATCCGATGCCAAAACGCATCCCTGCGTGTGTCCCCCCCCCCCATCATCACTGCGGAAACACACACACCCACACACCCCCCTCCACCCCGGGACCTTGGGGTCACCCCGCTACCTCCCCTCCCAGCACCTTCCCCTCAATATTGGGAGGGTGGGGGCAATTAATGGTACCCAGCCCTGAAGAACCTCTTCCCCCCCCCCCCCCCCCGCCGGCGTCGGGACCCCCACCGCCTCTCGGACCAAAGCTGAACTCGCCTGGACACAGGTCCCGGCAGCACCTGGGGAGGGGGGGCCTGGGGCAGGGCTCCCCCCTCCCCTCTGCTAATTAGCATCCTTTTTAATTATCCCCTACCACAACATGAGGGGGGGAAGGAATGGGGAATAGCAGGAAAACCCCCCCCAGCCCCTCCCCTGTCCTTGGTTTTTGTTGTTCCCATTTTAACCCCAAGGAGAAGGTGGGTTTGGACCCGGTTTTTGGTGATGGGTAGGGGGGAGGGGGGGTGGGATGAAGGGGTCGGGCCCAGGGCTGCCCCAGTGACTGGCTGAGATTGGGCTCCCACACGGTGGAAAAGACACCAGAAAGAGGCAGAAATAGGAAAAATACAACAACAACAACAAGCCCCAAACAATAAACAAACAAACAACAACAACAACAAAAAAAGAACAAAACCAACCCAACCACCAGAACAGCAGAAATTAAACCCGAGCCTCGACGCCGAGTCCCACCCCAACGTTTCCCGGAGGCTCCGCCAATTTAAGGATGTATTATAGTTTTTGCTTCTAGTTTCTTTATTTTGTATAAAGGAGAAACAAATAAAGTATGTTTTTGTGTTTACTGATTATTTATTGTACTTTAGTCATCGGAGGCTCCGAATTTTTCTATTTTGAAGGCAGGGAGGGGGTGGTGCCAGGGATGGGGGCAAGAGGCTAGAAGGGGTGGGGGGGGAAAAGGAAGGAGAATGGAAAAGGAAAGAAAAAAGTTGTTTTCTGAAAGCGTCGTGGGTTTCCTGTCCCTGCTGCCTCTTGCGGAGGCTGTTAGTGTGAATGGCTCTTGTTGTTCAATGTGAATAAAAAACCTTTTAGTTACCTACTGTTCGGTCACCTGTCCCTTTCATTTTATTTTATTTCTTTTTAACACAAGATCACGAGAGGTGCTGGCTCCACTGCCCTGCTCTCCTCGCGTCTCCCAGCCCTCCGTGGGGTCTGGGGGAGCCATCCCCGTTGGTCCCCTGGGTGGGACGGGTGCCACGGCCCCCGCACGAGGTGATGCTGCTGCATCTGGGGCTGCATCACCCACTCGGTACCCCAGACCCCACCACTCCTCCCCATCACCCCAGCTTTCTGGAACTGGGGGGGCACATTACCAGGCTCAGCACCTTCCCCCACAGCAGACAGCCCAGGGCATCATTTCTTTCCCCTTGGGGGTGGCATTTTGTGGACCCCCAAGACCAACGCCCCAGGGCGGCCCAAAGGCCCCCGCAGCCCTGCCAGGGGTGTCAGCAGGGCTGGGGGGGTGTCCACAAACATCAGCAGCAGCTTTTGCCCCATCTGCCCCAGGGGAGCACCGAGGGCAGGCAGGAGGGGGGGATCCTCCCCCAGCACCCCAGTCCGTCCCCCCTCCTCCCTCCTGCGTTCCCTCTCTTGTTTTCTGAGATACAAAAATAAATAAAGTCCAAGGCAGGCTGCAGCTCTGAACTAATATTTAAAATGCAAAATCATGGCAGAGTTCCCCCCCCCGCTCCTTGTCTTGCAGTAAAAAGATATAAACAGAATAAATTACCTTCCCTCGCTGGCTTACGAGAGTCCCTCTCTCCTGACCTGAATTTTAAGTCCTGGCTTGGTTGTAGCACGGAGCACCGATGATTTATGAAAAGCCAGCCACTTCTCTGCATATTTTCTCTGTTCAGCCAAGTGGTGGAATTTATCCTTCCTCTACCATTACCAGCATTAATAACGGGGTGGCAAACGAGCCAGGCCAAGCCCCAAGGGATCCCTCAGCCAGGAGCTGGGGACATCACAAAGTCACTGAGCTCTCAGCACCCAACACAGCAGAGCACCTTCTCCCCTTTTAACAGGTGGGGAAACTGAGGCAGGAGTGCAGCCAGCTGCTGCCGTCTGCTCCACCCCTTCCAGGCCATCAGTGTTAGCAGGGAACAGGCACTTTTTATTAGGACAGGGCGATGTGTTGTTAAATAACTCCCTCCCAGCATCATTTTGAGGATTATAAAATGGAGCACAAGGTCATTCACTGGGTGAACGCTGGCTGCAATTATTATTATTATTAATTATTAGTAAACCCAAGGCACACACCTGAGGGCTGTTTGCAGGCTGCTGGGGTACCCCATCTCTGGGAGACGAGGAGGGAGACGGGCTGCAGGAGGGATTTTGTATGGTGCTGGCATGCTCCAAGCTGCCACCCCCCGTGCAGGGGGCCGGGGGGGCTCTGTGCCGGAGGACAGGGCTCAGTGGGAGCAGGGACCCGCTGGCCCCAAGGGGCTTTACTGGCTGGCCCCCGCAGGGTCAGAGCTGGGTGCAGCAGCCAAACCTTCACCCCGATTCAGGCTGCTGCTGCCCTGGGCTTGCCCGTCCCAGTAAACACCCACCCGCGGCTCGGCACGGGCAGAAGGGACACGAGGGCTGGGGACAGCACGGTGTCACGCAAAGGGCCAGATCCAGGCCACGGGACGCGGAGCTGGCCTTGCAGGGAGCAGCTGGGTTCAGCCTGGTGGTTACCCCAGCCCTTAACCACAGCCAAGGTTGGGGTCCAGCACCCCAACTGAGCCCGGGGTCCCCATCACAGAGTCCTGATCCCCAGCACCCCGCCAGTGCCAGGACGGCGCCGGCACCCAGGGTTCACTCCTGCTTTCAGCTGCAGGGTGACCACGGGTGACCCCCCCACACACACCATCTGGGGCAGGGCCACCCCCAGGCGGGTGTCCCCCACATAACCTGCACCCCCCTGTCCCTGCTAGGGACATCCAAAGCCCAGTCCCCCCCAGCTGGCACCCAAAGCCCAAGCATTCCCTTGTCAAGTCAAGGAGAGGGCAAAGCTCCCTGTCGGGGTGCTCAGGGGAGTCACCCCAAACCCCACGGTCATGACAGTGTCACCACCAGCAATAACCCTCCCGTGGGACCAGGCTGGGGAAACACCACCCCAGCTCCCGGCTCCCCCTGGGCCCCAGCAGAGCAACATCAGTCCTGGGAATAAACTTCTTTTCAGAGGCTGTTGGGCAAACATCAATGCTATTTTTTTTTTTTTTTCTGACCTTTTTCCCTTTTTTTTTTTTTTTTGGAAGGGGAAGGTCTGCAGAAGGTGGAAAGTAATCAGGTTTTGGACCTGGGATAAAAAATGGCTGGAGTAGGTTGGGCTGACTCCTTATAATTAATAGTGTGCCTTGTAATAGGATTCTCCTGCCTTTGGTGCTCCCTGGAAACACCTTTTTACATAAGATATTGCTCACGATGGAGTGGCGGAGTTTTGATTTATGGGGTTTTGGCCTCCAAGAATCATCTGGGGAGCTGGCCTGGCCGGTATCAGATCATGGGGAGGGGGGAAAAGGGCAGAAGACAGGGAGGGTGTTTCTGCAGGGTTGTCAGCTGGGTCCCGGGGCAGGCGCCTGGTGAGGGGAAAGGGCTTCGTGGGGGGGGTGCCTGTGATCTGGGGGCTGAGCTGGGCCCGGGGCTGAGCCCCCTCTGCTCTAAAGGGGAGGAGGAAGAGGCTGAGAAGGGTTTTGGGGCAGAGGAAGGCTTGCCACCCTGCCCAACATCACCAGGTGACGCTTAGGGCATGGGCTCAGCTGGGAAACCAGGGAGCAGCCGGGGTCCGGGGGGCCCCAGTGGGAGCAAGACCCCACATCAGCCGGGGTTGGGAGGAAGGAAGGAGGAGAAATGTTGTTGGGGGGACAGAAAAAACCCTGGGAGGTGCAATAGCAAAGGGCTAAAAGCAAAAGAGAGTGGGAATGGGAGAGAGCAGGAAAGCCTGGAGGAAAGGGGGGAATGGGAAAAAGAGTGGGATGGGGGGAAAAAAGGGGATCAAGGGGGTGCTGGGATGGGGTGCGTGTGCACACACACACACACACACACACACACACAGAGCCCGTGGGTGTTAAACACGGCCAGGCAGCTCTGCCAATAAATCACCGTAACAAGCGGGTCCGTGCATGTTGTTCCATTCCGACCGCAGACAGCGCGGCAGGAACGGGAGAAGATTGTAATAATTAATAATCATTAGAATAATAATGCATAAAGACAGTAGCAAAGTAATTAGTCAGAGAGGGAGTGCTTGCTAATTGAGGTGGAGAGCTGCGGTCCAAACAGCCTGGGGAGGGACGGGGGAGGGAGGGGAAGGGGGACTGAGGGTTGGGGGATGCGGAGGAGGATGCCTGGCGTGCCCGAGGGGCAGAGCAGGATGCATGTACCCCAATCCCACCTGGGGGCAGGCAGGGCTGCGGCTCCATCCCTGCCCGCAGTGCGAGCGCCAGCCTCATCTGCCCTGCGTGCCTCAGTTTCCCCATCCCTCCAGGGGCTGCGGGAGGAGTCTGGCCCCGCATCTGCCAGGCAGCAGGGCTTTCTTTGGGGCATTTTGGAGGAAAGGGAGCAGAGGGTGCTGGCCGGGCAGGGGTGGATGTCACTCCAGGCCCAGCTGGCTCTTGAGGGCCCGCAGCTGGGCCGCCTGGATGCTGCTGCCCCCGCACACCACCACCACCACGGAGGCCAGCGGGGTCTGCAGCCGCCCCTCGCCCCGCAGCCGCTGCAGCCGCCCCGTGTAGAGCAGGGCCAGGGCGGCCCCGCACGCCGGCTGCACCAGCATCCTCTCATCATCTGCGGGGACAAGAGCAGGGGGACACCCTGAGCCGCCTGCCCGCCCCATCCCCAACAGCCCCCTGGGGAGCCGGGGTCCCCCCAGCCCCCCGTCCCAGGCCGGTCCCAAGACCCGGCGGTCACCCCTGCCATGCCCGGCTGGCCCCTGCTCACCCAGGAACTGCTCCACGGCTCGCACAGCCTCCGCGTCCTCCACCACCTGGGAGATGACGTGGCACTCCTGGGCACACTCCAGCGCCCGCGCCGCCACCCTCTTGGCTCCCAGGCACTTGGCCACGCTGGTACAGGAGGGGAGCAAGGCGGTCAGGGTGGTCCTGGGACCCTTTCGGTTTGCTGGGCTGAGAACTGCCAACTCATTCCACGCGCGGCCGCTCCCGCAAAGCCCGGCTCACCTGGTGATGTCGGGCAGGGAGATGAGCCGGCCAGCCGCCAGCGCCGCGTGGAAACTGTGGGCTCCCCTGGTCTCGGCGGCAACGATGGGGACGTCGTGCCAGCCCACCTGGCGCAGGCCGGCCACGACGCCCGCCAGCAGCCCCCCGCCGCCCACCGCCAGCAGGATGGCGTCCGGTTTGGTCTCCAGAGAGTCCTTCAGCTCCCGGACGAGGCTGGCGTGACCCTGCCTGCGTGGCGAGGGGGGATGTAGCCCCGGCAGCACCCCAAGCCAGCCTGTTCTTCAGGGATGGGGAGGTGGGAGCTGAGCCCTGGCAGCACTCACCACACTGATGGGTGGTCGAAGGGGTGGATGCTGACCCAGCCCTCGGTCTGTGCCAGCTCCAGGGCTCTCTTGTTGGCTTCATCCCACACCTGGGGCGGGGGGCAACGGGGACTCAGCGGGGCTGCATCCAGCCCTCATGCCCCAGAGGTTGGTCCCTTGTCACTGTGGGGCCAGGGGACACCAGAAACCCACACGGGGCACAGGACCAAGGTCGGGGTCCCCGGGGTGACCCTGCCACTGTGCCAGGGTGGAAGGGATGCAGGAGGGGGACATTTCGGGGTGGGGTTTGTCATGCACATCCCCGGCATCATGGAGCAGGCTGAGGTCAGGCTCAGCCCCCTCTGGTCCCCCCTATACCCCAGGTTTAGGGGGCTGCCATGGGGGGTACCTGGCCGGAGACCTCCACCTCCGCCCCCAGCTCCTCCAGTTTGCGCACGGTGGCAGGACCAGTGGTGCTGGGGACCACGACGGTGACTGGCAACCCCAGCTTCTTGGCCGCGTATGCTGCTGCCAGACCAGCATTCCCCCCTGCAGAAAGCAGGGGGGTCAGGCAGGGCTCAGCCCCCTCCCACACACACTCCCCATATTATTCATGAGCATCCCCCCCCCTCACTCTCCCCCACCCCAGCTCGGCCCCGTTACCTGAGGAGCAAACAAAGTGGCGGCAGCCCTTCTTGGCAGCCTGAAAGGCAGGAGGAAAGGAGGGAAGGGGACGGCTGTTTCCCCCCACCGTGCCCCCCCCCTTAAGGACACGAGCAGTGCTCTGCCCACACTCACCTCCTGGCAGAGGTGGCCGATGCCTCGGATCTTGAAGGAGCCCGTGGGCTGGACGTTTTCCAGCTTCATGTAGACCCTGGTGCCCGCTGCCCTGGACAGGGCCAGGCTCTCCAGGAGGGGCGAGATGATGTGGAAGGGCTTCTCACTCCCGCTGGGCTGGGCTGCCATGGCCCTGGTGATGGATGCTCTGCCAGGGAGAGGTGGGGGAGGCACCAGCTGCTCCCCACGGGGTCCCCCCCACAGCCTCACTGCCTGCCCCAGGCTTGGGATGGGGTCACAGGAACCCCTCGGGAGGGACAAGGCTGTGCCCAGTGTCGCCTGGCTCGGGGATGCAGCAGCACTGAGCCCTGGGGTGCAGCGATGGGCCCTCCCTGCCAGAGCCCCAGGACAAACCGGGCCACCCCCTCCTCCATCTTCTTGATCCCCAAGCCCTTGGTGTCCCCAAGTGCCCCCCACACACCCTGTCCCCTAACTCAGCAAGGCTCACCCCACAGTGGGGATTACCTGGTGTCCCGTGGGGTCTCGCTGCGTGTCACCAACTCCTCTCCCACCGCCGAGTTTGGGGGACGGAGGAGGGAGAGGTGACGTCGGAGGGGCCGTGCCGGTGTCCCCAAGTCCCCGTCTCCAGCCACGCAGCAGAGCGAGGGGCAGGGGTTAAACATTGCCTCAGCACCCGGTGGGTTTCGCCAACCGTGAGGCTGGATCCGTGCCGAAAGCGCCCAGCCGCGGCCCGGGCACTGTGCCTGGTGCCCCTGCGGGGACGGGCACGTGTGGCCCCAGCAGCCAAATCCCAGTGGCTTTCATGTGGCCAGGGGATGGGATGTGGGTGCCCAGGAGAAGGGGTGTGGGGGCAGAGAGGAGAGGCAGCTCACAAACGATTTCAGGAGTCCCCACGGGTTTGCTCCCCAAGGGTTTGCCCCCGCCAACTTGGCACGAGCGCCAGCGCTTCTCGAGGACAGCCAGAAACATGTCCCAGCGCATTACAGGACTTTGCCCGTTTGACCCGGACCCCCGGTGTAACGAGGGCAGCCTGCATGCCCCAAATCCCCAGCAGGCAGCCAACACACCCCCCATCACCCTCAAACCAGCCATCGCACCCCCATGCCCGCTCTGCCAAGCTCCCCCACCCCACAGCAGCCCCAGGCCCCCCCTTAAGAGCTGCATGTCCCCAGGGGGGCTCAGCCCTGCCAGCTGGGTAAGCCGCCCTGGGATGAGCCCCCCCCCCAGCTCCAGCTGGCCAAACTGGGCACCCTGAGGGCAGGACAGGCCTCGGAGGGTTGGGGGGGGGGGGCGGGGGACGGTCTCCACACAGCTTGCAAATGTGCCCCCCGAGCATCCCTTAGAGAGGGGGGGCTGCCTGGAGGGGCCCAGCCAGAGCCTGGCAGAGACCTGAGGTCCAGCAGCCCCCAGGCAAAGCAGGCAGAGCCCCCCCTGCTTTCCTCCCCTTCTTGTCACCCAGCCCTGGTGACACCCCCCGGGGTAAGGGTCCCCCCTACCTCTGTGTCGAGGGGCTGGCTCTGTTCCCAGCCAGTGAGGAGGAGGAGGAGGAAGGTGGGATCTGGAGGAAGGTCCGACCCTGGCTCCTCACCCCACAGTTGCAGCGGATTTCTCGGTCTGGGGAGGAGTCTGAAAGCAGAAGCCACTTTGACACAGAGTTAGTCCAGTCCCCCTCCATGGTGGCTCCATGGGGGTCCCAAGGTGGGGGGCCACTGCGCACGAGCTGGCACATGCACGACGCAGTCAAATGGGGTGGCACTGGGCAGCCCCCACTCCCCCAGGTTCTGCCCTGCTGCCGGGCAGACAGCTGTGAGACAGACCTCAAATTAGGGGATTTCAGTCCCCTGCCCCAAACTGTGCCGTAAACCCCGCCCCGAGCGCACCGTTAACAGGCACTGAGCTGGGCGTGGGCTGCTGGGGAGCTGCCCCCTGGTGGTAACGAAATGACTAATGCCCTGCTGCTCACACCATCAGTAGGCTTCAGAGTGAACAGCACGCAGCACAGCAAGGTCAGCAGAGAGCAGGCACGTCTGCCCTGAGCCGCACTGCTTTTGGGATGTGGGGGACTGGAAATATAGGGGATGAGGAGGATTTCTTGAATGGAGGGCACCAAGGTGGGGGCTGTGGGAGGCATAAAAGCTCCAGCTCCTCTGGGGCCCCATGGAGTGACACACCCCACCCCCCCACGCCAAATTCCACAGTGGGTAAAGGGCTGAAGCCAATTCCCTAGGGAAGGGGTGCAAGGAGCAACCCTCCACTCCCAGGGAGGAGGACAGGGACCCACTCGGTGAGGGGACCACATTTTGGATCAGCCCTGGGAGTGCTCCAGGGTCCCTTTCCACCCCGCACCCACCTCCCCATCCCCATTTTTACCCCCCCTTTGGCTCCATCCCCGCCCTAGGGAAGGCGATGCCAGGCTGTCACCCCATCACATCCCCTGGCCAGGGTCCCTGGGCTACATGGCCTCAGCCACCCGCCGCTGCAGCTGGGGCAGTATTTGATCACTTCTCTTTGTTCTTCTGCTTTTAGGAAAAGAAAAAAAAAAAAAAAATAAAAAGGAAGGGAAGCAGCAATGCAGCGGCTGCTGCGTTTCCAGTAGGCCCTGTCTTTGGCAACAATGTGCCTGGCCCTCCTCGCTGCCCCGTCACTCGGTGGCAGTGATGTCCTCCTCCCCAGGGAAACTGAGGCACAAGGACCCTCCAAGCAGCACCCCCTCCCCCAGGAATCTAGACACCACAGAGACACCAGGGGACATGGGTGCAGGCTCTGCCACCTCACACCTCACTTCCAGCCCCCCAGCCCCCCCCAGCAGGTTTTGGACACCCCTCCCTGTTCAGGGCACCCATCCCAGCTTTTGGGGCGCCAGCACACCAACAGTCCAGCCCTGCTGCAACCTGGCCCCCTCACAGCCCCTGGGGAGCCGCAGGGGCCCCCAGCCCCAGTGGGAACCTGGCACCTTCAAAGCGCTGCCAAGCACCAGCTCATTAATCCCCTAGTAATGACCTCGTTATTCCTAACGAGGCAGAGCGGATCAAGAGAGCTGCAGTAAGAGGATTTTGCAACGGGGGTTTTGGGGCTGGGGGAACACAGGTGGCAGAGGAGGGGAAGACAAAAGGGATAGGAATAGTCCTGGGGGGTGAGTGGTGGGACCACCCCCTCCAGCCCACACCCCTCATTTTAGCAGCTCTGCCCTACACCAGGTACCCAGCTCGATGCAGCAGCAGCAGAGAAACCTTAACAGCCTGCACCCCAAAAGAGCCCAGCCCGGCTGGGTGCATACCCTTTCCACGGGGGCCAGGAGGCAGGGCAGAAGCAGAGAGCACCCTGCTAATTTGGGGGGGCGAGTGTGTCAGAAGACCGCTGTGTGAGCCCAACCCTTATACAAGACATCAGAGAATCTTGGCAGAGCGCAAAGCACAGCCACCACCTCCGCTGCACACCAACTGCTTTATTTGTCACAGCCAAACCAGCTCACTCCCACTCTGCCCCGTGGGCCAGCCCCAGCCTCCCAGGACCCCCCAGCTTTTCCTGGGAAGAGCCCCCCCAAACCAGGTGTCAGCACCCAGGAAAAGGTCCCAGGGCCAGAGCCCGTTGGCAGGGAGGGGGCACAGCCTCCCCCCCACCCCGCAGCACCACGGGGATGCAGCAGCGAGAGGCAGAAGCAAAAAGAGAGAGGGGGAGCAGGGGAACCCCCCCCGCCCTTGCACCCAAAGCCAGTCCCCTGGGGATAGGGGAGAGCGGGTTGCGCTGCGACACGTCCCCCCCCCCCGCTGCCCCTCCATAAGGGATCTCCACGCAGGACAGATGCCCACGGATGGACGGACGGATGGGCTCAGTCCCAGCGGACCTTGATGGGGGGGAAGGTCCAGAGGTCGGGGTGGCCCATGTGCAGCAGGGCGCTGCAAGGGGACACACTCCAGCGGAAGGGGGGCACGTCGTCCCAGGCGGGGCCGCTGGCGGCCACCAGCCCGAAAGCGGGGGCCATGCCCCAGGAGGTGACCTGGGGCGGGGGGGAGAAAAAACAGGGTCAGCGTGGGGAAGGGGCGACACAGCCTGGGGGGGAGCTGGCAGAGCGGGGTGCACCCCCAAAAAGAGGGGACCTCCAGTCTGTGTCCCCCACCTTCATGTCGGTGCCGCCGTGGCAGCGCTGGCGCAGCGCGGGGAAGGGGTAGGTGCCGTTGGGGGGGTTGAGGTCAGAGCGGGCGGAGATGGCATTCTCTGCGTTCTGGGGGGGGTCGCAGCCCCTGCACCTTGACAGCGGGTCCCGCAGGTAGTTGTTGGACCTGCGAAGCAGAAAAGGGAGAGTCAGGGGGAAGGCAGGGAAAAAAAAAAAAACAAAAAAACAAAAAAACAAAAAACAAAGAGATATAAATTTATAACGATGAAAAAAAATCACCCCAGAGAGCTGCAGATCCCTGGGCGAGGGGTGTGGGGAACACCCAGGTTTGGGGGGGCCCCAGCACCCACCTCATCAGGCGGATCATGGAGTCCAGGTCGCGGACCAGCGTCTGGTTCCGGCGGAAAATCTGGGCACGTGGGTTCTTGTCGTAGGTGAACCAGTCGCCGTATTTCTTCACCAGCTCCGGGTTCCCGCTGGCATTGAAGATCTCCTCGAAGTACCTGGCGGGGGTGTGTGTGGGGGGGGGGTGTGTGTGAACAACCCGGCAAGTCAGCACCCAGTGGCGGGGGGCGAGGCCGATGCCGGCTGCCCGCCTCGTTGGGGAACCAGAGGGGTGGGATGAGGCTGGACGGAGCTCACGGCAGGTTGTAGCTGGCCCAGTAGCCCCGCTGGTACAGCAGCTCCGTCTGATCAGCAGCCACCACCAAGCCCCTGTGCTGGGAAAAATTAGAGCAGAGGGTGGAATCGAGCGGGGATGGGGGGCAACCCAGGCGGGGGGTCCCCGCTGTGGGGTTCCCCCCTCAGCCAGGGGTGCCGGGTGCCCATCACCTGCATACAAGCATCCCCATCGCCCACCTCCCACCCGCTGGGCTGGGGCAGGCAGAAGCCCCAGGGCTTTCCCAAACCCAAGGGGACGGGCCCGCAGGAGCCGGCGCTCGGGGAGGAACGGGGACACTCACGGGATCTGCTCCAGCACGGTCAGCACGCCCTGCGGCGGGCTCGCTCTCCCCGGCACGAAGGCGTTATAGTCCACCACCATCCACTGGTTGTTGTACCTGGCACGGAAAAGCCGGCGGGGGGAAGCACCCTTCTGGCAGCCAGAGACATCCCTGCTGTCCGGGGGGAGCATCCCTCCAGCCCATCCCGCCCCTCCCCGGGACAACTTCCCACGCCCCATCCCACCCCGCTCACGTGCCGCTGTTGAACCGTCGGAAGACAGCAGCCCACTCGGGACCGCTGCGGGCCAGGCGGTTGGCCACGATGTTCCTCAGCCACTCCAGGACGCTGCCCCGCGGGTTCAGGTACTTCCACCGCGCCGGGTTGTTGTTGCCGATGGTGGTTTCCAGCGCTACCTGTGGGGAGAGGAGCGGTGGGGAGGGCGGCGGGGCCAGGGAGGGGTCCTCAAGGCCCAGACCCCCACTCACCAGCCCGCTGCTGAGGATGTAGAAGTCATCCCCGGAGAAGATGGTGCCGGGGTAGGAGGAAAACACCTGGATGCTTCCGGGGATCTGAGAATTGCCTGGAAGGGGGGATGCAAAAGCAGAGGAGCATCAGAAGGGGGGGTGTCAGACGCAGCCGCCCCCCCCAGCCCAGCCCACGCACCGCCAGCCGAGGCACGGAAGGGCAGCGTGTACTTCTTGATGACGCGCAGCATGGACTGGTAGGAGGTCCAGGTGTCGTGGGCGACCAGGAGATCCCGACGGCCCGGCAGCAGCTTCAGGAGGGCAGAGCAGGAGCCCGAGCCCAGGACATGCCGCGGGGAAGAGCGGTTCAGGGCAGACTCCAGGTCCTCCAGGTCGCCCCCCAGCTGCAGCAGGCTGGGGGGGGAAGCGAGACATGGGGTATCAGGTGGGGGACACCCCAGCCCAGGCGCTGAGCTGGCTCAGAGCTCTCTGTCTGTCTCTGTCCACGTTGGAGGGTGTTTGTCCATCCCACCACAGCGCAGGTACTAGTGCCGGGAGCACCCTGGCAGCCTGAGCAGGGAGGGAAGGGTGAGCAGAGCAGTGGAGAAACTGAGGCAGGGGGGACACACCCCCAGCCCCCAGCCCACGGTGCTGGGGAGGAGGAGAACCTGCCTCGGCTCCATCCTACCCCAGAAGCAGAGGACAAGCACCCAGAGAAGGTGGGCGAAGGGGTCTAGGAGCAGAATCGGGTGTCCCTGGACAGCCAGGAATCAACACCATGCCCCACCCAGCAGCACCCCAACCCCTGGGGCGACCACCCCCCGTTCCCCATCACCTCCAGGAAGGAACTTACAGGAAGCCAAAAGGTGCCAGGGTGAACCTGCCCCGGGGGAAGTCCAGGCGCCGGTTGTAGCTGTCCTCCAGCCCCTTCAGCTGCAGCAGGGCCAGGCGCACCTGGGGACAGGGGACAGAGCTGGCACCTGGCTCCCGCAGGGGAGAGAGGCGAGGGATGTTGGGGGGTCAGGCTCCCCCCTTCCCCCGGGGGACACAGGAGATCCAGCGGGTCCCAGCACTGCTGCGGAGGCAGGAGGAGGCGCAGGGGGAAGCGTCACCATCAGCGGGGCCGTGACTCAGCACCGATGGCCGGCAGTGGGGGTGGGGGCAGGGGGGGCCGAGCCACCCCCCTGGGCACCCCAACAGCGGCACGTGAGGCCCCAACAGGGAGAAGTCACGAGTCACCTCTGCTCGCCCAGGGGAGGAGGATCCATGGTGGCCACATCTCCGTCATCGCACCTGGAGCTAAGCCAGGCCCCCTTGCTGCCCCTCTAAAGCCCCAATTAGTCCAGAGAGACATAGAGGGGCTCACCCTGGGTGGGGGTACCCCTTCCTTACCTGGTGCCAGTACTCGGGGTCCTCCCCCTTCCCCATCTGCTCCTCCATCCAGGCCAGGTTGGCCTCCAGGTAGCCCCGCAGCTTCTCGCAGTAGTCGCTCTCGTACTTGAAAGGGCCGCAGTAGCCCACCATGGTGTTCATCCAGTGCATGTACATCAGCTGGGGGGGCACGGCCGCGGCATCACCGGCGGGGGGCCAGCCAGGGGACAGGGGCGGGACGGCGTGGCACCCCTGGGGACCCCGCTTTCGGAGGGGTCACCCCTTACCTGCTCGGAGACGGCGGCCTCGGCCAGCCCGGCGGCGTACGCCTGCAGGCTGTCACTGTACGAGGCGTTGGTGGTCACCTCCAGGAAAGCCCAGCTGCGGGGGGGGGGGGGGGGGACACACGCACGGGCACGGGTGGGACACGGGCACCCGCCACGGCTCCCTCGAGGCCGCCCCCCCACGCCCCGTCCCCGCGCGAGCCCCCGGCCCGCCCCGTCCCTACCCGACGGCGGAGATGCGGTCGTCGAGGCTGGCCCAAGCGACAGCGGCGGGGAGGCGGCCGGGCAGGACGCGGAGCTGACCCGAGCCGGGATCCAGGAGGACGGAGACATTGCGGGGCGGCGGGGCGGCGGCGGGGGGGGGGGGGGGGGGGGGGAACGGGACCCCGGCCAGGGCGGCGGCCAGCGCGGCCCCCAGCACCGCCCGCAGCGCCGCCATGGCGGGGACAGCAGCGGGGCAGGGGGCGGGGCCTGAGAGAACCACGCCCCCGGTAGCGCCCGCAGGGAACGGTGGAGCGGGCGGGGTTTGTGGGCGGGGCGTGGTGATGACCACGCCCCCGGCAGCGCCCGCCGCGCCGGGGGCGGCTGAGGGGGCGGGGTTAGGCGATGGCCACGCCCCCGCCTGCGCTGCGGGCGCGGAGGGGGGGCCCGCAGCCCGGCCGATCAGCACCCTCTGTGCCCCCAATTCCAACCTCCCCCCCAACCCCACGCGCATAGCCGCGCTGCCCCCGCACCCTCATCTCCTACAGCACACACCCAGTCCCACCCCACTCCCACGCCCCCCCCCCCCCCAACCATGCCCCACCATTGGGGAGCACACGTGGGCTTCCTCGCCAGTGGGGCACCCGGCCTCCAGCGTGTCCCCCGTCATGGGGTGCAACCCCAGCCGGTGCACCCCCTGTGGAGCGTCTCAGTGAAAGCCTAGCAGCGCTGGGGGGGCCCACTGGGGTTTGGGGCCGGGGATGGGGGCACACGCGAAATGTTGGTGCCTGGCCCATGGGCCCCAGCGCCGCCACAGTCCCAGCCTTGTGCAATCCTGGCCGGCGCCTATTTATTGCCCTCCCCGCTCCCCTCGGCGGGCAAAGTCCCCCTGAGGTGCGTGGGGTGTCCCAGCGGAGCGGAGGCAGAGGGCTTGGAGCCCCCTACCCACAGTGGCAAGATCACCGTGGGGTGTATAAACTCTGCATGGCCCGGCCCTATATCACCCCCCCCGCACAATGTTACCCCGAGCACTACTGCAGCTGCCTGCCTGAGGCCTGGCGCAACTCGTCCCACGCCATGGCAGGGTGCCGGGGAGCACTGAGGAGACACAGAGCTTTACCCCAAAGCCCACGCTGTAGGGGGCACACAGTGAGCTCTGGGAGTTCAACTGGCAGCCGCTGGGGTGGGGGTGCTGCAGGGGCCCATCCATGTGCCGGGCAGGAGGGGACCAATAACGCCCTTTATTGGATGAGCAGGAAAAATGCCACACGCCTGGGGCTGTTCCGGGCAGGGCAGCACCCCAAAGGCACGCTCGTGCAGGCACGTGGCATAGCCCAGCACACCCCACCAGCTCCCAGCTGCTGCTGGTTAATTTTCCAGTCTGGCCCCGTGCCCACATATCCCTGCTCCTGTGCTCAGTGCTGTAAAATTTGGGTGCCAAAACGTGGCCAAAAACCAGTGGAGCCGAAAGCAGCAGTGTTCCAGGGGGCTGGAGGCGATGCAGGGTCAGGGCTTGCGCCCAGTGGGTGCTGCTGGCCTTTGGGTGCCAGGCTGGACGTGGGCTCCTGTTGGAGACCCTCCAAGCTGGGCGCTGCCTTTGAGTCTTTATTTTCCTTCCTTGCCCCTCTCCCTGAGGGGAAGCACAGTGTGTAATGTCGGTGAGAAACTGGCCAGGGTGGGAAACGGACACTTCAATCCCATAAGGCTCTTAGGGACACGCTGACAGTCACCTCCACCTTGTCAGCTCCAGCCGTGGGGGCCCAGCCTACCGCCTCACCCCCCAAAAAACCTGGCACAGGGGCCTGCACAGGGTAAGGGCACGGCTGGGGCTGGGGGCAGCAGGGTGTCCTGGAGCAGGGCACGGCAGCTGTGCAATATCTCTGTGCGGTGGGGGACACCGGCAGCAGCAATGGGGTCCCTGTGGGGTCGTGGGGCCGCCGGCACGGGGGTCTGTGCAGCTTCGTGCACCACAGTAGCTGCCGTGCTACGGGGCACAGCGCGCTGCTCCCTCCGGGGCAACATCCTCGGCCGTGCCTGCAATGAGCTCGCCCGGTCTCAGAGGGTCACCCCCAACACCGACTAGGTGGGCGCAGCACCCAGGGTGGGTGTCCAGCCTCCGCCCTGCCTCGGCCCGTGGGCACCAGGACGCGCGGAGGGACGGGGTAGAGGTTCACCCCCCCCACGGCAAACACCCTGCCAGCCACATGTAAAAAAGTGGCGCTGTCGCTTTAAGAGCGGAGGGTGGCGGCCCCTTTAAGACGCGGGGGGGGGGCGGGGGGGGGGGGGGATCAGCTGCCCGCGCACAACAGCGGGGCCGCGCCGCCACGGTGGGTCCGCGGGGCGGGTGGGTTCCCCCCAGCATCCCCCCAGCATCCCCCGCCGCGGGCTGCCCCTCCTGCCCCCCCCCCCCCCAACCCCGGGGTCCCCACCCGCATCGCGCTCTCCCCGTCCCCTCCCTGGAGTGGAGGGGTGTCCCGCGGGTCCCCTGGTCCTGCGTGGGGTGTCGGTGCCGGCTCCGCTCCTGTGCTACCCCCCCTCTTTGCTCTGTAGGCACTTGGGGCTGGCACCCCCCCCCCCCCCCGCCCCGGCGAGGACGTGGCGCGGCGGCGGTTGCTCAGCCTGACCGCGCGTTGCCGTGCCTTTTATCATTATTTTTTTTAATATCCTCTTTTTAAAATTATTTATTTTTAACCCTTCCTCCTCCCTGCCCGGGGAGCGCGGGATGGGGGCCTGGGAGCTGCCCCCACTCCCCCTCCCCGGGGACCGCTGCCAGCGGTAGGTGCCCCCTCCCGGAGCTGCCCCCCCCCTCCCCGCCATGGGGCAGGGTGCCATGGGGCCGGCCGGGGTGCTCAGCCTGGCCGGGGTGCTCAGCCTGGCCGGGGTGCTGGCAGGGGACAGCAGGGTGCAGCCAGCCGGGACCCCGCTGCCGCTGGACCCTCCCCGGAGGGATGCTCTGAGCCACAGCCGGGGCCTGGATGTGAGTGGGGGGGGCTGCGATGGGGTTTGGGGGGCGGCGGGGGTGGTGGGGCCCCATCCTGTCCCTGTTTTCCCCCCCGTCCCCACCATCGCTGCTGGGATCTCGGCAGGATTTCCTCCGAAAACCTTGTGGCTTGCCAGGCCGGTGCCTTCCCACGGCCGGGGTTGGGTGGGGGGGGCGGTGCGGGGGCCCTGTGCTGCTGGGGACAGGGGTGGGGGGGACAAGGGCTTGCACCCCCGCTGGCCCACGCACACGTAGCACAGATGGGGAAACTGAGGCAGGGATGACCGTGACCTACCAAAAAGCAGCCCAGCAGAGGGGCGGTGGGTGCTCGGGGTGGGGACGGGACTCGGGGCGCCCGGCCGAGCACCCCGCGCTCTGCCCCGCAGTGCTGGGAGGTGCGGAACCGCAACAGCTCCGAGTGGTGCCGCTTCGTCCGGAGCAACCCCGACTGCCGGCTGGAGGGCGGCTTCCTCGACTACCTCGAGGGGGTCTTCTGCGTCTTCCCCCCCCGGCTGCTCCCCCTGGCTGTCACCCTCTACGTAAGGATGGGAGCTGGGGGGGGGGGCACGCTGCTGGGGGCTGCTCCGCTTTGGGGGCGCAGGGTGGGGACCCCACTGACCCCTCTCTCTGCCATCCCTGCCCCCGCAGGCTCTCTGGCTCCTGTACCTGTTCATCATCCTCGCTGTGACAGCGGAGAAGTTGTGAGTAGCCCCGCAGAGGAGGGGACGGTCCCCGGGGTGAGCGGGGAGCCCCAGGGTCCCCGAGCAGCCCCGCCACCCCTCTCCGCACCCTTCTCTGCCCTTCCAGCTTCTGCCCCAACTTATCGGCCATCTCCACCAACCTGAAGCTCTCTCACAACGTGGCAGTATCCTTGGCGGGTCACGAGGGACCTCGGCTGGGGAGGGGGCATGCAGGGACAGGGCGGGGGGAGGTGGCCGTGATGGGGTCACTTCGCATCCCCTCAGCGCTGTGCCAGGGGAAACCGATTCGGAGCGGGAGCCGGAGGTGGCAGCGGGGTGAGCGGTCGTGTGGTGGGACCGGGAGGGAATCCTGCGGCACCGGAGTGAGCGGATGCCCCGTGTCCCTGCAAGGAGAAGGCCACCAGGTCTTTTCCTTGACGCCCCCTCTCCATGGTGTCACCTTCCTGGCCTTTGGCAATGGGGCACCAGATGTCTTCAGTGCCGTGGTGGCCTTCTCCAACCCCCGGACGGCGGGGCTGGCCATCGGGGCTGTCTTTGGTAAGGACCCCCCGGCCGCCAGCTCCTCTCCAGGGACGGCTGGCTGGGGGGCGGGGGGGTGACGGGTGCGGGGCCATGGGATGTTCCCCCCCCTGAGAGGGACCCGTTGCACTGGCAGGTGCCGGTGTGTTCGTGACCACCGTGGTGGCCGGGGGCATCGCCCTGGTCAAGCCCTTCACGGCAGCCTCCAGGCCCTTCCTCAGGGATGTCATCTTCTACATGGTGGCCGTCTTCCTCACCTTCGTGGTCCTCTACTTTGGCAGGATCACGCTGGGAGAGGCTCTGGGTGAGCACCACGGGGCGGGGGGTGAAGCTGGCACTGCGGGGGGGTGCGGGAGCCGCCTGGGAGTGCTGGAACACCCTGTTGCTCCCCCCATCCCAGGTTACCTGGGGCTCTATGTCTTCTACGTCTTCACCGTGGTGCTCTGCACCTGGATTCACCGGCGGCAGCGGGGAGAAGGGCTGCCCCCCCCCAGGCCCTGGGAGCCAGGTAAGGGCCATCTGGCTGTGCCAACGGCACCCCCGGTGTGCTGGGGTCTCCCTCCGCTGCCCCCCCTCCCCTCTTCTTCCCCCCCCCAGAGATGCTGACGGATGCCGAAGAGCAGGAGTCCTCAGGCACAAACAGTGGTGACTACGGTATGTCGCTGCCGGGGGGCTCGGGGCTGGCTCCGCCCTGTCCTGGGGGGTGGTCGGGGGTCCCAGGCTGCCGCACGTGTGAGCGAGCCCACGGGGTAGCCGTGGCCAGGTGCCACCCTGGGGCAGGGACATCTCGCTGGGGCTGTGCAGTCGACTGCAGCCCCATGCGGGAAGGGCCGAGGGGGGTACTGGGGAGGCCCCCCCCCCACTCCCAGCCCCGCTCAGCCACCGTGGCCCCTCGCAGGTGAGGAGTACCGGCCCCTGCTCCCCTCCCGGGAGCCCTCCCTGCGCATCCTCACCGCTGCCCTCAGCCCCTTGGACTACCGCAAGTGGAGGAGGAAGCCCTGGTACTGGCGGCTCTTCAAGGTCTTCAGGGTAAGGGGGGGGGGGGGGGTGGACAGGAGCTGGAGGAGCCCCTGCACAGGGCGTCCCCCTCCCTGCTGGCCCCTGGGGCTGCGTGAGTCCTGGGCGTTGCGATGGGGACAGTGGGACAAGGGCAGGCAGGTGGGGGCAGGTCATGGGGCACCTCCTGGGGGGGTCCCTTCTTGGGAGTCCCCCATCCCTGCTCACAGCCGCTTCTCCCAGGTGCCCGTGGAGCTGGTGCTGCTGCTCACTGTTCCCGTTGTGGACCCTGACAAGGATGACCTGAACTGGAAGAGACCCCTCAACTGCCTGCATGTCCTCACCAGCCCCCTGCTCTGCGTCCTCACCCTGAAGTCGGGCGCCTGTAAGAGCCCTTGACACCCAGGAGGGGACGGGACCGAGATGGCCACCAAAGCCCTGGGGACTGCAGGAGCCCTTTGGAACTGGCACCCCATCTGGGGAGGGGGAGGACGGGCCAGCTGGGGGGGCTGGTTTGCAGCTGGATGACTCTGTCCTCCCCCAAGTCTCCCCCTGCCAGAATCCAGGTCCTGGGGGAAAAACGGGGCAGGCCTGTCCTACCAGGGGAAACTGAGGCACAGAGGGGAGCATCCCTGTGAGGGCTTAGGGTAGAGGTGGCTTTAGAGGGGACAAGGCTTTACCTCCTAACACGAGCCCGGCCAGATCCTGCCCCAGCCCATGTGGTGCTTGCGGGGCTGCTCTGATGGCCCCCTCTCTCCACCACATGCAGATGGGCTGTACCAGATCCAGGGTATCTTCCCGGTCTGGGGACTGGTCACACTGGTTGGCTCTGTCCTGGCCATCATCATCTTCATCACCACAAGCAACGAGGAGCCACCCAAGTACCACTGTGTAAGGTGCCCCCCCCACCCAAATGCCCACTGAGGACCTGCCCAGTGTGCTCCGGACTGGGCTGAGGGTCCTGGGGGCAGAGCAAGGAGCCGGGACCTCCTTCCCAGTCCCCAGTGTCCCCAGGAGGGACACAGCTGGCCGGAGGTGTGCAGGGTCCTGCGGGACGCACCCAGGGACCAGCTTACCCCTCTGCCCATCAGGTATTTGCCTTCCTCGGGTTTTTGGCCAGCGCCATGTGGATCAACGCCGCGGCCACGGAGCTGGTGAACATCCTCCGGACCCTGGGCGTCATCTTCCAGCTGAGCAACACCGTGCTGGGCTTGACGCTGCTGGCGTGGGGCAACAGCATCGGCGGTAAGGGCCCTGCTGAGCCCCGGAGCTGCCCCCAGTGCACCCACCCTCCCGGCACCCCCCAAGCTCTCCCCCTCTCCCTCTGCAGACACCTTCTCCGACCTCACCATGGCACGGCACGGCTATCCCCGCATGGCTTTCTCCGCCTGCTTTGGGGGCATCATCTTCAGTATCCTTTTGGGTGCTGGGGGAGAGGAGACGGTGGTACGTGGGGCAAGGGCTGCCTCAATTTCCCTGCCTGCAGCCCAGGGAGAGCCCCTGCTCCTGGGGCACCCCTGGGAAAGAGCTGGGCAGGATCCAGCCCGGATTCCCCGGGCTGTTGGCAGCCTCCCTGGTGCCTGCGCAGTGCGCGGGGACTGGCGTGGTATCTGTGAACTGCAGGAGCTGCAGGGACGGAGCCAGCGCCATCCCCCTGTCCCCGCTCCTGTCCCAGCCCCAGCGGGGTGGAGGGTTTGGGCTGGAGCCTGGGACATTTGGGATCTGGCAAAGGGAAGGAAGGGAAGAGGCTTTGTGTCACCTTCCGGGAGGCTCTGGGTGGTTCCCAGGGCGGGCTGAAGCCTCTCCTCCTCCAGTGCCGCAAACAGGCAACGCTTTGGGCTGGGCAACAGCCACGGGGTGCAGGCAGGGAGGGGGAGGGCCCGTGCTGTCCCCCGCGCTGCGTCTCCATCCTAAACGTGCCCCAGACATCCTGGTCGGCGTGGGACTCGGCTGCCTGCTGCAGATGACCAGCAGCCAGCTGGTGGTGAAGGTAAGGCTGCGCTGGCAGCGACGGGGCGGCACGGGGCCAGGCTGGCTGGCGTCACTCCCCACCGCTCGCCCTCTCTCCGGCAGCTGGAGCCCGACAGCCTCCTGGTCTGGATCCTCGCCGGGGCCCTGGGGCTGAGCTTGGTCTTCTCCTTCGTGTCGGTGCCGGCGCAGTGCTTCCAGCTGGGCAAGGCGTACGGCGTCTGCCTCATCCTCTACTACCTGGCCTTCCTCTGCGTGGCCCTGCTGACCGAGTTCAGGGTGATCCGTCTCGCCGCCGCCTGACCGGCTCCCGCTCTGCCCCCCCCCCCCGAGGGACCGGGGCCTCGCTGTCCCCTCTCCCCGTCCCTCCCAGGGGGACGAGGGCACCTCGCCCCCAATCATGCTGCTCCGACCACGTGCTGGAGGCGACACGCGCCAGCCCAGCCCTCGGCCTTCGCTTCCCAGAGGGAGGGGGGCGTTGGTTGTGCTTTGGGAACGGAAAAGGGGCTGTTAGTCATTAGCTACATCCTCTCCCCGCTCTGTTTAATCTTGTTTAACTCAAGGTGACTCTGAGCAGGGGTGAGGTCAAGACCTTGGCTTCCCCCGGTCCCGATGGCAGGGGCAGAGGAGAGGGCAGCTCCAGCCCAGGGTCACAGCAGGAGTGGTTTTACTTCTCCACTTTACTTTCCCTTCCCTGTCCCCATCCTGGCCGCTCTGGGACAGGGCTAGGGCAGCTGTGCCACACCGGGTAACTTGGTGAAGGTCTGAGCACGAGTTTGTCATTGCAAAGGACGTGACACGTTCACACCGCGGGTTTGAAATAGCAGCTGAGGCAAAGCGAGATGGGGTTAAGGTGAGACAACGCTCCAGGGCAGTGCTTGGTTTTAATGCAGGCAAAGCAGGAGGAAAAAACTAAGCAAAAGGTCAAGGGAGGCTGGTTTCCCCTGCTTTTTTAAGCTATGTTTTTCAACCTGAGTTTCAGATCCTATTTTTCTCCTCCTTCTAGGGTGGACAAAGTTGTAGGAAAGGAGCTGGAGGTTTCCACACAGTGTGAGCCTCTGGCAAGACTAGGTTTAAAAAAAAAAAAAAAAAAAAAAAAAAATTGCAATAAAAAAAACCAAACACAAACCCAACCTTGACTTGTGTTGTTTGCTGTGAGAGTGTTTTCTCCTGCTCTCTGCTAGCCTAACACAAGCCTTACCCAGCACGGTGCCTTTGGAGGGGGAGAGGGAACACCTGGAACTTCTCCGGAGCTGAGGCAGCAGCGGCAGAGGGGCCGGGGGGGTGACAGCCTCGGTGGCACAGGGCCGTTGTCCCCAGCAGCTCGGGGAAGTGGTTTCCTCTGGGTTCACCAGCAGCTGATTTCTCAACAGCAGTCACACGCGCCTGACGCGGCCGTGTAGTCGCAGGGTTGGGAAGGGCAGCGTCACGGTGCGGGCGGCCGGGGGCCGTTACTCGGCTCCCCGGGGAAGGGGACACTGGTGGGGCAGCCCACGGTCCCGGGGGAAGTGGAGATGAGTGGGGGGGGGCTGGTGCTTCTGCTCCGTGTGTCGGGGGGGGGGGCTGCGGGGCGCAGGGTAGACAGCAACCTGCCGTTACGGCCGGACAACCACATTTCTGCTCCGTTGGGAGAGAGGGGCTGTTTCGCAAGAAGCAGAACTGCCAGACCTGGTTCCTGCTCCCTTCTCAGGGTGCCAGCAGCCTCCTGAGCCTGGACAATTTCTCCTTTTTCTAACCCGATACCGGCTTTCACAAAAAGTAACGCTCCCTGTGCCTGCAGCTATTGGCTCAGCCCTGAACCTGCTCACAAGTTACCAGCAACCGCCGGAATTATCCAGGGAGCCAAGCCCCACTTCCTTACACACAGCAGGGCTAAAGCAATCAAAACCACAGCCAACGTACCAATACAGTGGGGTACAGGGTCAAAAAAACCCCCCTTCTAACCTTAAACATTGCATTGGGGCAGCTTTAAAAATTGTAAGTTTGAAAGCATTGTCTTAAGGTTTATGAAACAAACTGGCAGGGGGAGGGCAGAAGGAAAGCTGGGCTTTGCAGTGTTCAGGAACAAGAATTCAGAGCAGCTTGGCAGGGCAGGCGTGCAAAATATGCCCATGCAAGAAGTTGCCCCTGGAGAGGGAAGGCGGGCACCGCTCCTCTTCAAACACTCTGGAAGTGCTTCAGCTGCAGCCAAGCCCTGGGAATAACACGGGAAGGAGGAAAGGAAGCCACTGCCTTTACAAAGCCAAGGATGCTTTTTATTAGTGTGCTTGAAAAAATCTAGAGAATATTTTACAGACATGTCCATAAAATCATTTTATAAACAAAACACCAGCATACAAAATCCTGCAGTGCTTCCTCCCTTGCTCCCTACAAAATGATTGTCTCTGTCGTTAGTCTGTGTGTCGGGTGGGGGAGAGGAGGATAAATAGAAGGGGATGCCCCGTACTCAAACTCTGTTTCCTTCCAAAGTCATATGGAAGAAGTAAACTTCTGTGACCCTCCTTGGTTTACAAAAATAATTAATACAGTGTGTACATGGGGGCGGATTAACACCTCAGCACAAAACCAGGGAAGCAGCACCTGAGTCCTGAACTCCAGTCCAAGCATTCCCGTCTCTGTGACACAAGAGCCCTGGTTACTGCATGTTAAGCAGGTTAGTGCTCCCTCAATATAGCTTAAAGCTGCAGCTCCCTACCCAGAAAACACCCCCAAAAAAGTCACTGACAGCTCTGCAAGGAGAAATAGGCTGTAGGGGAATGCAGTGTTTAAACACAGCCACATTTTTTTTTCCCCCCTAACCTTCACAATGCTCATTCATCCTGCCCACAACTTAAAACAAAATAAACAACATCTCCTTCAGCCCCAGGACTAATCTGGATAAATCTCCCAGGCTGCGACTCCATGCAGAGCAACTGCAAGAGCAACAATCGCGCTGCTCATTAATTTGTGGTCGAATTTATGGTTTGGAAAACAGCCCTTTAAGGTCCTTCACGGTTCAGCTCAGAAGTAGTTTCATACCTGCAGTACCCAGAAAGGAAACAAAGAGTTGCCCTGAGGCTCCCAGGGAATTTGGCAAGGGTTGAGAACAGACACTGGTGTGTGCATGTTGCCCAGAAAGCTGCTCAGCTGCTCTTTCCATCCCATAGCCCAAACGCTCCCACCACACTACGCAGGGAGAGGTTTTCAGAAGCAGTTCTACCTTGCCCAGTTTTGAAAGTCTCATCCACCCAGAATGTGCTCCTGAGCTGCTTGGGTAGGGCCAGTCCTTTCCCACTGTCCTTGTGCCACGTGGTGAGGCTACCAAGTGAAAAACGGGTACGTGGGAGAATGGGAACGGGCACACAGACCTCCCACTGCCTGGGAGGAAGGAGAAAGCCTCCCCAGCAAGTCCTACTCTTAGTCTGAACCTGAGAAAAGATCAAAGAGCAAGAGGTGAGGGGAGCCTCCCAGCTGACAGATCCTTCTAGTCCTCAGCACTTTCTGCGCTGACAGGGGAAAAAAAGGGGACTTACAGAGAGAGGTTCTCATCACGTGGGCAATGAAACACAAGTGATGACACAACCTGCCACGATCACAGAATAAATGGGACACAGCTGGGAAGGGATCCCTTCTCCCCTTCCCATCCCTCAGCTACCAGGTCTGGCAGCCCCCTTGCCAGCTGGGTGAGAACAATCATCGTTTTCCACATTCCTCCTGCATCCAAAATTCAGGGGAACAGTAAAGCTTTTCAGTGGATCTTCCTGAGATCCGACTCGTCAGCGTTTGCCAGCCTGAGGAACATTTCTGCAAGGGTGAGAGCAAGGGAGGAGCAACACTGCTGCGCTGGGACTTGCCCACCTGTATAAACAAAGCAATGACCGGGCTGAGGACTAACCAGCAGTACAGTTTGATGCCCATAAGCTCTCCTTAACACAGAGCCGGGCAGAAGTCAGACTTGGAGCTGCAAAACCTTCCATTTCTTCCTTCTAGTCATCTATCTGAGCTAAGGACCAGCCAGAGATTTGCCATTTACAGAGCAGGTGGCCAAGTGGCAGCGGTCAACAGCTGCCATCGCCCTGCAGAATGTCCCCTCTCACTGGGCAGGGACAGGAGCTTTGGGGTTTACAGAGGCGATCCCAATCCCGGGCTGAACTGACCAGCAGCAGTGCAGATATTGGATGGCTACAGCAGAGACACAGTTCGTCTTCCCAAACTCCTGTCCCACCTATGGTCACAGCACAATGAGATGCTGGCCCTCAGGTCTGTCCTCAGCTGCCACGGAACTGCTCGGGAACAGCTAAATTCAATAACCAGAGCTGGATCTACTACAGGGGGTGCATCTTGGTGTGCCGAAAAGGAGGGGAAAGGCAGACTGCTCTTCCAAAAGTGCTGAAATTTCACACCACCTCCCCTTTCTTTGCATAAGGAAGGTGGAGAAGAAACAAAACCTCACTCCCTGATCTTTTATTCCTAGGTTAACGGTACCCTTTAAGCAAAAGAGATCTTCAAAAAGGGCAAAAGTTTTAATATTAAGCAGGTGGCTTCAGCGCATTTCCTGCTGTTAATGGATTACTCGTCCTTTTCCCCAGGGTCTGTTAGTGGTAAGACAAACAGCAGGCTCGAGCCTGGGAAGCGGCTCAGAGGGAGAAGGTCTCTGTTCTGTCCGAGATGTTCACTCTGCTCTGAGCACGGGCCTCATGCTCAGTCTGTGTAGCAGCCTTACACAGAGTCCCCTGGGCCACTGGTGTTTCAGCAGTTCACTGCCTAGGGGAAGAGATTTAAACCCTAAAGCTGAACAGTACACTGAACAGATCTATATACATCATCCCAATACATACGCTGTGAAGTAATACTCTAGGTTATTGCATAGAAGGCGGCTTGCGTTAGCTAGGCCTAAATGACAGTCTGGGAGCGTTGTCGGAGGCTCAGGGGCTTCAGAGAGCTGTTGGAAGCAGATGCAGGCTCTTGCAGCGGCGTCTGAGATTCCTCTTTTCTGGAATGCTCCTCATACCATTCCTGCAACAGGAGATCACACACACCGAGATCAGGCTCTGCCCCACACTGGCCTGGCAGCCCCCCCAGCAGGACCCCGAAGGGCAGAGCCTTCGGCTGCTCTACCCCGCGAGGGCACATCTGCTCGGGCACAGGGGGGCTCTTCCCAAAGCCTGGGATACAGCCTAAGCTCCCGGAACAAGGCGGTTAGCTGCAGCATGGCTCTGACTGAGACCTTGCCACCCACGGGCCAAACAACAAGTACCAGCTATGGCTCAGCTCCAGTTGGCTGAACCAAAAAACCCGGGCAAGGAAATATCCCTCTCTCAGGACGTCCCTCCTGAACGTCGAGGACTACCGTGATGATTGGGATTTGCAGAGTTGCTCCCAGTCCTGGGCAGTGCCCAGGGTGCTATAGTATGTTACATCTCTGAATCAGAGACCAAGCAGAACAGGTCGGGAACTTCTCTGTAGATTTCCACCCAGCTCCATGGTAAATAACATGTTTATTTTTGCTGGGGGGACTGAAGATTCATCCCCAAGCTATCTGCCCAAGGGACAAAGGACAGATTCAAATGGTTACAAGATTAATTCTTTCAGCAGTAATCATTACATTAGCCCATGACCTTCAACCTGACAGTGAATGTCTGGCAGGTACTACACTGACCACAGCATAAAGTTCCTGACCTCAAAGGGCACTAGCAGGAATGCCCTAAACAATCCAGAGAATCAGATGATTTAAGTGTTTCCCATCTTTGTTAGCCTGCTATTCCGACAGAAAACCAGGCAGCATTGCTCACACCAGAGCACTCTGCCTGGGAAACTCGGGTTTGTGTGTCAGACAGGCACACCCAAGCTCAAACACAATCACATTCCAGAGGGTTAACGAATTAGCGCTCAGCAGCCAAGCCCCAGGAGCGCCCTGCCTGTGTGCTCAGAGCCCCAGCAAACACATCCACCCCGGTGAGGCCAGGGAAGCTCAGCCAAGCCAAGCTGGAGCGCACGGTGACTGGGACTCGGCTGACTCACACCTGCCCAGCTGGGCACCCCGACCTGCTGAAGAGGCTCTGACGTGCTCTGTGGTTTAAGAAAGCCCTTGAGTGCAAGAATGGATCAATCTAAAGTACACTTCATCTACTGCCTACCCTTCTCACAGAGCACACGGCTGCCTGGCTCTTGGAGGAAGGCAGCCTCCAGTGTTGAAAAAGATGGTTTGTTATTCTCTAGGCAACGTTCTGCTCACCACTGAGACTTGGCTGATATTTCCAACTCAGGCCTACAT